CTCCCTCCCTCCCTCCTTCTTCTCTCTCTCTCCCTCTCTCTTTCTTTCTTTCTGAGACAGGGTCTCAGTATACAGTTCAAGGGGTCCTTCAACCCATTATGTAGCCCAGGATGACTGGCCTCAAATTCATGGAGATCCTCCTGCCTCAGCCTCCTAGGCTCCAGGAGCCTAAGCATGTGTCACCACGCCTGGATGCTTTTCCTTGTTTCCACATACCCTGCCCAGAAAGGACACCACCCGAGCTAAGCCAGTGTCCTTTGTCCCCGGACCTCACCATGGTGAAGAAGGTGGCTGCTTGCTCGAGCAGCCCCACAAGCCCCAGCTCTGTGAAGTACTTCCCGGAGCAGAAGCCCTCCTCATCGGGGGACAGGATGTCGTCGGAGATGGCCGACTCCTCCAGCACGTTGGATGAGATGTTCTGGGATGGGAAGCAGCACGGGACTCCGTCTCTGCTCCACCGGGCCCCTCCCCCGCGGCGGGCCACCCGCTGCCCGCTCACCTGGAAGGACACACAGCCCACGGGCAGGTGGCGGCTGTCCTCGAGCAGCGCCAGGTACTCGGCCACCAGGGCAGCGGCGTGCACCATGCACTGCGCGGCCTCCGCGTGGTTACCCAGCTCCGCGTGCTTCCCGGCCATGTTCTGCAGCCAGGTCAGCCGCAGGTCCGGGGAGCCCTGGTAGCCACGGGCAATCCTGGCGCAGGCAGGTGACAGTGAGTCCTGGGACCCTGGCTCCGTCTGCCAGGCCTGTCACGGGTTACCTTCCTGTGACCCGAGCACCAGCCGCCTCCTCACCTGTCCCTCTTCACCTAGTCCCCTACCAGTCCACCCTTTCACCCGTCCCAGGGACACTACCAGTGACCTACGCCCCTAGTCCTTTGACAAGACTTTATTGAGACAGGGTCTTGCTGAGTCAGAACTGCAGTCCTCCTGCCTCAGCCTCCCAGAGGACTCGGGTTACACTCGTGCACCACCACACTTGGCTTCTGTCCCTCTGTACCTGTGTCTATGTCCTGTCCCCTCCGTCCTCTGTCCCTCAGCCCCTCTCATCAGGGGGCGAGTGGGCGTGGCTTAGTCCCCGCCCCCCGCACCTGTACATGAGGTCGATGAGCATTTCCGGGTCCTCCTGGTGCTCCTTCATCTTCACCGTGTCCGTCAGGATCATGTGCAGATTGAACATCAGGTCCTGGACCTGTGCGGGGGCGTCGGGGGATCAATGCGGGGTGGCACCTGGGGCTAAGAAGGGCCGGGCACAGCCCCGGGGGGCCTCTGTGGGGCAAGGACCCCGGGCGTCACCTGCTCCGCGAAGGTGCTGTCCCGTAGCCCCACGTCCTCCTCGGCGTAGGTGAGGATGGTCTTGAGGGATCGTCGCAGGTGCTCTTCGCTGAAGTTCTGTGTGGTCCCCACGAGGGACGACAGCGACATGGTCACCTGCATCTTCACGCGGGCGAAGTTCTGCAGGGGTAGGGAAGGCTCAGGCGTCCTGGCAACCTTGGTCCCCCAGCCCACACCAGGGTCTGCTCAACCTGCCCAGTCCTTACCCCGTTCTGCTGCATGAGCCCGCCCATCTGTCAGCTGCCCCTCTGCTCACCCGTCCCCAGCACTCTGTCCCCAGGCCCTCGGTGACTTCTGCTCCCCTCCCTCTTTCCCTTCCCCCGCCCTGCCTGTACCGGGGAGCCCAGTGTAGACCACGCCCCCGCCACAGACCACGCCCCGACCAGTAGCCCACAAGACCACGCCCACTCAGACCGCGCCCACCCACGGGCCACTCCCCTGCCCACGCACGTGGCCGATCTCGAAGTTCTGGCGCATGAGGAGGTAGAGCGAGGCGCTGGCGTGCGCGCGCACGGTGCTGACTCGGCTGCCGCAGTGTCGCAGGAGCCGCAGGCAGAGGTCCGCACACAGCTCGGTGTCTTCTTCGAACAGCAGCTCTGGGAACTGCCCCCCAGGACAGAGACAGAAGCTGCTCAGCACCCCTCTCGGGGCTCAGAGGCGCCCACACCCAGACTGTGCGGAGGAATCTTCGGTTCTGCCCGTTTTGGCCAACAACAGACCTGGATTTTATTTTTCTTTCTTGCTCGCTCACTCGCTTTATCTTGGGGTCTGGGGACTGGAGATTAAACCAAGGACCTTCGCACTGAGCTACAACCCCAGCCACTTAAAAATACTGTTTTATTTTGAGAAGCCCTGGGTCTGAATTGCCCGGATGGGACTTGAACTTGTCATCATCCTGCCTCAGCCTCCCAGAGTGCTGGGATTACAAGTGTGCACCACTGTGCCTGGCTGGAGTTTCTTTTTTGGTTCATTTTTGCACTACTAGAGAGTGAGGCCACTGCCTGCCTCATGCATCGGGGTGGGCCCTCTACCATTGAGCTACGTCCTCACCCCCTGCTGTGTGACCGGGGTAGGTGACTTGGCCTCTCTGATCCTTAGTTCCTTCCTGTGTGAGCTGCAGCTGAGGAGCCTGTTTCAGGTGCTCAGGGAACTGCTGCTGTAATTATTACCCCCTGCTCACCTTGGACACCAGGGCCCGCTGGGTGGCCAGGCCGTGCTGCAGGAAGAGCGCGCTCTGGGTGCTGCCCAGACTGTACAACACAACCTTCAGCACCGCGCCCAGCACGCTCTCCCGGGCCTCTGACAGCAGCACTGTCTTTGGGGAAGGGTACAAGAAGGCCAGGTATTAGAGACCGCAGTGGTGACGGGGACAGAAAAGGCAAAGATCAAGGAGTTACAGATTGTAGGGGTCAGAGGTCAGAGAGCGTGGGTCAGAGGTTAGGCAGGTGCTGGATCAAGCCCTACCTGCACAATGATTTCCAGTGTGTCCAGAACCACCAGGCTGGCCTCTGTGGCCAGGTTCCCGTCCACCAAGGCCTCATGCTCCATTTCGTCCTTGCTCCTGGAGGGGAGGGGAGAGTTTGGGAAGCGGCATCCCAGGGCGGGGGTGAGCCCTCTCCGTCCCCTGGACGTCAGTGCAGAGCTCGTCTGAACCCAGAAACTCCCTTCCTGCCTGCTAAGCTTTGGGGCTTGGCTGTGCAAGGG